AAACCCCTTTAAAATCCCTTAGGCCAGTCCCGCAAGCTGGAACAACCATGTCTTGAGGGCGCGGCGGAAGGAAGGGAGATCAGGGATCACCCTGATCTCTGGGGGCAGTTCGTTCCAGAGGGTGGGAGCTCCCACAGAGAAGGCCCTCCCCCTTGGGGTCGCCAGCCGGCACTGTCTGGCTGACGGCACCCTGAGGAGATACAGACCGTCCTCAAGATACAGACCGTCCTTGACTTACAACCACAATCAACCCTGGAATTTATGTCATTAAGCGAGGTGGGCGCTAAGCATCGGTTTGAAACAAGAAGGGCAGCAAATCAATTTCCAAATAAATAAGCGGATTTTCTCCCCTTTTACCATCTTTGTTGCAGCAGTGGTTAAATGAATCACTGCAACTGTTCAACTAATAGTAGTAGTAGTAGTAGTAGTAGTAGTAGTAGTAGTAGTAGTAGTAGTAATAATAATAATAATAATAATAATAATAATAATAATAATAAAGTTGGAAGGGACCTCGGAGGTCATCTAGTCCAGCCCCCTGCTTAGGCAGGAAACATGGTTGTTAAGTGAATCCGGCTTCCCTCTGGACTTTGCTTCTCAGAAGATTGCAAAAGGGGAATCACACGACCCCCGGGACACTGCGACCGTCATAAGTACGAATCAGTTGCCAAGCATCCAAATTTTGATCACGTGACCCTGGGGATGTTGCAACGGTCGTAACTGTCACGGTCATAAGTCCCCTTTCTCAGTGCCATCGTAAGTTTGAACGTTCACTAAACGAACTGTTGTAAGTCAAGGACCTACCTGTAGGTTCTCTTGGCTAAGCTTATTTCATTTCCCCACCTATGGGATGTTGCCTTCATCGATCAGTGCTCGAAGGAGGCCTCAGTCTTTGAATCTCATCTTCTTCTTTTTTCTCCTTCCTTCTGAAATATGGTAAGCACCTCTTAATTTTGTTCCAGAAGACAGAAAACTCTTCGTGGGCATGCTCAACAAACAACAGTCAGAAGATGACGTGCGCAGGTTATTCGAAGCCTTCGGCAACATTGAGGAATGCACGATCCTTCGAGGGCCAGATGGCAACAGCAAAGGTAAAGAGGTGACCATAACTGATTAGCCAAGCCAGGAGAGAACTTGGACCTAAGGAGATCTGGACGGTCAGATCCTTAAGCTCCTTCAGGAGATCTGGACAGTCAGGGATTGAGAAGACCTTCCACCATCACCCAAAGATGTTTTGAAGCCTTCTTCAGTGTTGGGATTCAGCCGGTTCGCACCGGTTCTGCAGAACCGGTAGCTAATTTTTGTTGAGTTCGGCAAATCGGCTGAAGCCCTAGCCCTTTTTTGCAAGGTCCAGAACGGCCCGCCGGAAGTGCATGGATGCCGCTTCCAGAAGTCCAATCTGGGCCTCAGAGGCCCGAAGGAGGCCTCCCAGGCCCAGAACGGCCCTCCGGAAGTGCGTGAATGCCACTTCCAGAAGTCCATTCTGGGCCTCAGAGGCCCAAATGAGGCCTCCCAGGTCCAGAACGGCTCTCCGGAAGTGCGTGGATGCCGCTTCCGGAAGTCCGTTTTGAGCCTGGGAGGCCCACAGGAGGCCTCTCAGGCCCAGAACAGCCTGCTATAAGTGTGTGGATGCCACTTCTGGAAGTCCATTCTGGGCCTCAGAAAAAAATGGTCAACCAATTCCAACTTCTCGTGAAAAAAAAAAATCTCACGAAGTTGGAATTGATTGATTGACCTTTCCCCCCCCCCCAAAAAAAACCTTCCTTTGTTTCCCTGCACGGATGGTGGAGCATCGTGAAGGAGAAACGGCACGGGACTGGGAGTCAGGTAAGGAAAGAAAGGCAATTCCTGGGGGGAGCGAGGATTTCTTTCCTTACCTGCCCCACTTGTTCTGAGGCCACTTTCCGCTGAGCCACATTGCTCTTGACAATAGCCCGGACCACCCACTTCAGTACCCTCCCTCCCCAAGCCTCTGGCACTCCACCTGCCGTTTTGGTGGCTCTGTAGACAGAGCAGTGAAGTTCTCTTCTCTGACAGATGAAGAGGGAATGTGCCCCACTTGTTCCACAGCAGCATTTGGCCAAACCGCGTTGCAGCGGCATTGAGCGCAATGCACAAGGCAGCAAACAGCCACGTCGCGCCGAAACTGGCCGTTTGCTGCCTCCTGCCCAATGCTGCTGTTATGAGGTCACGGCGCAAGCCAGGCCACGGTAGGGAACCGGTATAATGGCACGTGGCTCAGAAGGGGAGAGGATCTGCCAGGTCTCATGGCAGCGGCATTGGGTGCGATGTGCAAGGCGGCAAACAGCCGCATCGTGCCGAAATTGACCATTTGCCGCCTCCTGCCCTATGCCGCTGCCATGAGGCCACAGAACAAGCCATGGTACAAGGGTCAGATCCCCCCTCCCCCATTAGCTTCACCTCATCACAGGCAGGCCGTCCGTGCCGGCCCTTAAATAGGGCTTACTTTCAAGGGGAGGGCTTATATTAAGCCCACCCCTCCAAAAATCAGCTGGGGTTTACTTTTGGAGGTGGGTTTACTTTCAGGGAAACTCAGTATTTGTAGGATGCTACAGAAAAGGGAACTGAGGAGTCCTTGGTGCTCTCTGTGTGGGTGTTTTCTTGCAGACGTTTCACGACCCATTTCGGTAACATCATCAGTGCTAGTAAAGAGTGAGGCTTGCTCTCGGTTTATATACTAGTGGCTTGCCCCGTCAGTGTTGGAGGGAGTGGTTTTGGAGGTTCTTAGTTTGGGTGATGAAATGTCTGCCAGAAAACAACGGGAGCACCGAGGACCCGTCATTTTAACCTTGAGCTACAAATATTCTTTGTTTAAAAAGGGAACTGTCTGAACCTAAGAAGGTAAAAATGAGAAACTGGAAGAGACTAAAACTGTCTGATTTGTTAATCCCCCGTGACAAGTGAGCCAACATTGCTCTAAAGTGAAAAGGCAGAGAAATAAAGTCACGTCAAACCTTTGAGGAACAAATGGGAAAGTTTCTGCTCTTCCCAATCAACTTGATTCTTATTCTTAGAGTTTTGTTCCTTTCTATTTTCTTCCCAGGGTGTGCTTTTGTGAAATATTCCTCGCATGCAGAAGCCCAGGCGGCCATTAACGCGTTACACGGGAGCCAGACAATGCCGGTGAGTGCTTAATTATGGCTTAATTGGGCACGGGGGGTTGACACTCGTGCCCCAAGAAGCAAGAACAACATGTGGAGTTATTTCTGAGTAGTTTTTTTATTGCTATTCGCCTACAGACAGAATCTTGCCGGACTAAATCAACTAACTGCACAATTATAGATATATTCTGTGTGAACTGACAGGGAAGGACCATCTTAACCTGCTTCCTGTCTGTTAAACTTCCCAAGCTCTGCTCCCCTTTGCCCTCTGGGAAGCAGCTTTTCTCTCCTGGGACTCCAGGCTACAGTCCACCACAGTGCCAAACAGATATTTACAGAATCAACCCATTGTAATGAAATGCAGAGGGAGAGAGAGGCTGCCTAGGAAACAATCAAAGAAGGAGTTCCATAGGTGTTTCTCCCAAAAGGCAAATGGACTCGCTTGTTTGGTTTTTTTTTTCCTTTGAAAATGTTTTACTTCTCGTCCAAGAAGCTTCTTCAGTTCTAACTGGTGGGGAACGGAAGAATGCCGAAAGAATGAGATACGTGCATAAGATAAGATAACTGTTATTGTCATTTTTTTTACTGTGGGCACAACGACACACATCAAAAATGAAATTTAGTTCCCTCTGTTGAGGGAAAAGTCTTTATCGTGGTTCAGTCCAAGCCGAGAATAAACAACATGGCAACTGCTTTAGAAAGAAGGTTGTAGTTTATTGAAGAGGAGAGCCAGACAGGAAGATGGCTCTGGAAGAAAAGAGAGTGAGCACATGTAGGGAGTGGGTTTTTATACCCTCTGGGGCCTTTTGTTTGGAGTTGTTCCTGTGGCATGAACTTTGACCTGAGTCTGAGTGTGCCTTTCTGATATTCTGATGGTGGTGGGTTAATCCTATTATGTCCCAAAGATTATATCCTGCTTCCCTGTGGCTGTGGCGGATGACTCTTGGATTTTTGGTGTTGATTCTAGGGATCTTTCTTCCTAATCCCAGTTTCCTGATTCCAGTCTTTCTGACAAAATTATCATCTGCAATTCTGCAGACTTGGTTTCTGCTTGGGACAGAGAGACTTGGGGACAGGGTTGGTTTCTGCTTTTAAAATCCTTTAGGGAAACATATTCTGCCCTTTTAATATTTCCTTCTCTGGGGGGGCTGACTTCCCACATCTCTGACCGACAAATTATGTGAATCACCAAATTGTGGGATTGTTTTAGTCCTATCCAATTGTATGGATGTTCATTCTACCAGGGATGAACATAATCTCTTGATCTCATTTCCTGATCTACTTTTGTCCTTTTGTTATGCTAGGGATTAAGTTGTCCCCTTCGTTCGGTCAATTCGCCACTCTTCTGCCAAGCTTTTCTTCTGCATCCCTCAAAATTCTGGTCAGGACATCCAAGCCATTTGCTTCTGTAACAAAACTCCTGTCCCTCCACAGCTATCAGAATGATGGTTCCTCTGTGGCTTCTATTCACACAACATATGGCACCTAAGAGTTTTCAAAAAGGCCATTTTATCTAATTAAAATGCCTTCTCCCCTTCACGAAGATCAGAATCTGTCACATAACTAGTGGCCCTCTTTACAGGAATGTTAAGATGAATCAGGCCATTGAGATGCTTATCCTGGTTGGGTAGAAAGCTAGATGCTTAACCCGGTTGGGCAGGAACCGAGTGGGGTTACTGTAAAACTGTTTTCATTGGAACAATCACACAAATGAAGGCAGTGTTATGGCCTTGAAATCCTCTCTCTTAACCGAAGGCCAAAAGAGAAGAGATGGGAAGATTCAGGCACTTCAAATAAAACATCATTTTTTTTTCCTTTAAACTACTGTAAAATATACGTATTTTTAGCTTCTCGAAAGTCTGGAAGACGATCAGGCAGATCAGAACTCACTTGTATGATGAGACACAGAGTAAACCTAGAGCAGGGGTCTTCCACACGTGCCTGGCTGAGGAATTCTGGGAGTTGAAGTCCACAAGTCATCAAAGGGCCAAGTTGGAAGACCCCTGACATAGAGGTTCTTTTCTACATTTTCCCATTTCGACACCTATCTGTGACAACAGCACAAAGCTCTTGCTGGAGGCAACCAGCACTGAGAGAGCACCCAAGGGAATATCATACAGTCTACAGAAGAATTTCCTGGTCAGCATGTCTTTCCAAGAAGGATGAGAGTCAGGGGACAGGTCAAAGGCATTTAGTTAGAGATGTCTGCTTCAAACTTTCCCAAATCTAGCATTGCGTTAGATGCTTCAAAGAACCCAAGAACATTTCATGGTACTAAGTTCCATAAACAAACTATTTAGAGAAGAGTCCTTCCTTCTTTTCTTTCTTTCTTTTTCTTTCTTTCTTCCTTCCTTCCTTCCTTCGCTTTCTCTTCCATAATCTTTCCCTTTCTCCTTCTCTTCCTCTCTTTCTCTTCCATCCTCTTTCCCTTTCTCCTTCTCTCCCCTTCCTTCCTTCCTTCCTTCCCTTCCCTTTCCTTCTCTTTCTTTCTCTTTCTCCTTTTCTCCCTCTTTCCTTCCATCCTTTTCTGCTTTCCTTTTTCCCCCTTCCCCTTCTCTTTCTTTCCCCTCCCTTCCTCCCTCCCTTCCTTCCTTCCTTTCCTTTCTCTTCCATAATTTTTCCCTTTCTCCTTCTCTTCCTCTTTCCTTCCATCCTCTTCTGCTTTCCTTTTTTCCTTCCCTTTTTCCTTCTCTCCCCTTCCTTCCTTCCTTCCTTCCTTCCTTCGCTTTCTCTTCCATAATCTTTCCCTTTCTCCTTCTCTTCCTCTTTTCTTCCATCCTTCCTTCCTTCCCTTCCCTTTCCTTTCTCTTTCTCCTTTTCTGCCTCTTTCCTTCCATCCTTTTCTGCTTTCTTTTCCCCTTCCCCCTTTCTCTTTCTTTCCCCTCCCTCCCTCCCTTCCTCCCTCCCTCCCTCCCTTCCTTTCCTTCATTCCTTCCCTTTCTCTTTGATAACCTTTCCCTTCTCATTCCCTTTCTCCTTCTCTCTCTTTCCTTCCATCCTTTTCTGCTTTCCTTTTCTCTTTCCCCTTCTCTCCCCTTCCTTCCTCCCTTCTTCCCTTCCTCTATTTCTTCCTTCCTTCCTTTGCTTTCTCTTCCATAACCTTTTCCCGTTCCCTTTTTCTTTCCCTTTCCTTTTCTCCTTCTCTCTCTTTTCTGCTTTCCCTTTCCCTTTCTTTTACCCCTTCCTTCCTCACTCACTCACTCACTTGTTTTTTTTGACCCAAGCTTTACTTCAGAGGAAGGGCTTCCCCTCAGCAACTCTTCCTGGCATTCCCATTGGCCAAAAGACTAATTATACTGTATCATCCAAGACATTATTTTTAACTCCTGTCCTCTGGGCCTGCGCGCTTGTGCGTCTGTGTGTGCATTTGTGTGTGTGTTTGCTAATCCGCAGCGCAACTTTCTCTCGTCTTCCTCTCCCCTCTCCTTATTGTTCCATAAATGAACTAATAAATCAGACGTTCTTCAGCCCCAGAATAGAAAACTCGGCAGGCCAGCCGCTTGACAAGGAGTATGAATCATCCCAGCTTCGGAGGTGGCCTTTGGGGGCATAAAGACCTCATTGGAGCTACTTGCTCTCGCTAGTCACATCCGAAGAATTGTGCAGGCATCTGGTAGGACAGCTAAGAGGCCCCGGGGGAGAATTCAGGAGGTTTTTTTTCTTCTTCTCCCCTTCTCTCTCTTTTCTTATTTCACCCCTCTGCCGTCTGCCTCCTTTTTGCTTTGCTTCCAGGTCCTCTGCCATTGCAAAATCTATTTCCTACAAATGGGATAAGTTGGAGACCACTAGCAGCAGACCTCACAGCTTCAGCCAAGTCACTTGTGCTCTTTTAATGGACCAGGGAGAATGACAGAATAATAGAGCTGGAAGGGGTCCTGGAGGTCTTCTAGTCGAACCCCCCTGCTCAGGCAGGAAAGCCTATCTAATAAGCCTGACAGGAGTAGATTATCAGAAACTGGTAGGCCTAGTCCAGGGGTAGGCGACCTTGGCTCTTTTATGACTCGTGGACTTCAACTCCCAGAATTCCTGAACCAGCATGGCTCAGCTTAGAAACTTCTCCCTTTCCCCTCAGCGTGGCTGGCTCAGGAATTCTGGGAGTTGAAGTCCACAAGTCATAAAAGTGCCAAGGTTGCTTACCCCTGGTCTAGTCTATTAAACCTGACAGGAGTAGATTATCAGAAACTGGTAGGCCTAGTCCAGGGGTAGGCGACCGTGGCTCTTTTATGACTCGTGGACTTCAACTCCCAGAATTCCTGAGCCAGCATGGCTCAGCTTGGAAACCTCTCCTTTTCCCCTCAGCATGGCTGGCTCAGGAATTCTGGGAGTTGAAGTCCCCGAGTCATAAAAGAGCCCAGGTTGCCTACCCCTGCCCTATACCATTTCACACAAATGGTTGTCCAGTCTTTTCTTTTTTTTTTTTTTTTTTTTTTTTTTTTTTTTTTTTTTTTTTTTTTTTTCAATATAGAATTTTATTGTTTTTATCATAAAAGAAAAAATACATCACAAGTATTACACAATGATTTATCCCTAGGGGGGTGGGGGGCCTGAAGGGTTTGGTTTGGATCCGATTGTAAGTTGATGTTCATTTGTTTATAATTATAGAGATTGAGGTTTGAGATTTGAATTTGTTAGGTAGACCTCCGTGTTAATAAAAATTATTCATTTAATTAGTTCTTCAAATACCCAAAATCTTTACCATTTCAGCAAGATAGTTTAACAGCCAGTCTTTTCTTAAAAACCTCCAGCGATGCAGGACCCATAACGTCTGAAGGCAGGTTGTTCCACTGATGGTGTTTCTTTAAATTTTGGGGTGGCCTGAACCACATTTATTGGGCATTCAAGTTACTAAGAGGCTGCCCAAGTGATTCCAGCTATCGGGCAGTTAAAGCAGCGGTAATGATGTTACCTAGTTGGGTCATGAAAGGTCTGCAAGAAAACAACCAACTCAGAGAGCACCAAGGAACCTTCATTTCAGTCCTAAGCTACAAATATTCTCCTTTATTAACAGAATAAGAGAATAAC